TCTAGATGCTGAACCAGATGATTACGCCATCCGCATATCTTCAACCAGTGAACTCCAGAACCTTCATGGCTACGCCATCTTGAGATATCGGGTATGTCCTTTTCCGCGAAACGCAACTTGGCTGATCTAACGCCATCGCAGGCAAAGCGCCCGCCCCAATATGGCGAGCCTATGACACTGCCGCCAACCAAGCCAGAGGCAATCTGTCTCTTTCCTGACGGAAATACGCACCCAGACTGCAGTACAACTGATGCACAGTTTGTTCCTCCGTATCCTGAAAGTCCTCCACCATCAGTCACCAAACATCAACCAGCACAGGCCGACTTGACTTTCAGATTAACAGCAGACTCCCAGCCGTCAAAAACTGAGCGTGTACCAGAGTATTTTCTCAATGGCAAGCCATGGCAACTCTTCCACGGCTCAATGTTGCCTCTTCTTTTTCACGCTGCGAATGAAACGTTGGAAAAGCCTGTCATCAGTAACCTGCCTCTAGGCTCGGTGGTGGATCTCATAATTGAGAATCGTATCAACGAAACGATATCATTCTACAAGCACGGCGAACCCTCATGGCTTCTTGGTTCTGGTGCGAACGAGAGATTCCCTGGAGAGACTGTGGAAGACGCAATGCAGAGACCAGGTGTGTCGGAGAAGGTCCTCAATTTACACAATCCTGGACTCGTGATTGTTCATGATTTGCCAGCGCTGGGTTGGAGTGTTTTGAGATTCAAGGTGACGTCCCAGACAGCAACGATGCTACATGCTGCGAAGCTGAGATACTTTGCTGTAAGTCAAATATTGTTAGCGCATTAATCAGTGGTCAATCGCTAACAAGGTGCTTAGTTGGGAATGACAGTGCCTATCCTGGAGGGAATTACAGTGGACACGCCACTAAAGGTTCCCGAATCGGTCGTTGACAGGCCTCATATCGACTTTAAGCCCGCCCACGATGGTATTTTTGGATGATTGGTTTTAAATAGTTTTTTGAACGGTTATGGATGAAACAGAGATCGGTCAGATCGTCAATAAAATACGATTGTATCATAAATAGCCATGAAGGCCCATAGTTTAAGGAGATCAAAGTGCAGCGATAGTGACCCATTATACAAAGCGCGAGGCATGTGTCCAGCCATCAAACGCAATTCCGCAAGCGGAACGCTGATTGACCACAACGCAAGTGGTTCAGTGTCAATGCAAAGATGGCGCTGTATGTCTGTCGCATTATAGTATCCGTTTGCATCTCTTCTAAGCACATACGACCATAGCTCGCAGAGAACTCGGGATCCCGTCCGCTCTCCCATAGATAAGCTGCGAAGCGCTGGATTAGTAGTTGGGTCGGTGACGACCAGCGAATCCCCGGTGTTGTATGTTTTTTTGCCTTTTGCTATAGCTCTCTAGTTACATACTTTTTGTTATTTGCCAATGGCCGAATTGGAACTGGAAATGCGTCGGTCGCCGCTATTAAACTCGGTGTCGAGTCAATGGAGCCGTGGGAATCAATTTGGCGTGTTTGTTGAGCAGTGCAGATTGCGTGCTGGGTTGAGAATCATGAAAGGAACTACAAGTACATGACGTGGTTGGCCAGCCAAGGTTCGCAGTATTTTATTAAAGCTTCCTTTGTCTCGTCTAACCATTGGCGGAAATGCACCAAAGACAGAAGCGTCTTGATGAGCAGTCACCAGTTGCTTGAGCTTGCGATCACAGTAGGTTGCAGGAGACCACGAGGCAATTGAGCGTCTTGTTCAAGAACCCATTGTGGGATAGGCTCTGGCATAGTAACAATGAGTAGTCACGGTCATGGCTTCGGCTTCGACTCGAGGGGAACGGTCACGGCTTGAGTCGCGGGGTGGGGGGTTTCGCATAATATTGTAACGCAGTATTGGGATCGTTTTGTAGCATCAAGATCGATTCGTAGTATCGGACGTTTGTCGAGGGAACAGAAGGGTGCATCGCTTGTGTCTTGGTTCAATCCTATCGCTTGTCTGCTGTCTATAGGGAAGCTTCATTGGATCAGACGCGGTATCTTCTCGTGCACGTCCTGGAGAGGGACGTTGTATTCTTTACTCTGCTATTACGGTGGGGAGAAGTATCTCGGGGCTTCTGAATCGGTTTGATCGTGGACTATCACACAAGAGTCCCATGCTGCATGCATTGTCAGTTGGTCAAGTGAGGGGTTCGCAACTTCAGCAGGAGGTCGGTCGCGTTACGAGGCTACGATACATATCGAAATCGATCTTGGACGCGCCAGAATGCTCTCAGCTATGACTCAGGTGAATTGCCATGGCTTGTGACGTTCTTGGATCACTCTCGGGGCATTTGCGTGCGTTGAGTAATTGCTGTGTTTCTGCCAAGTTGGTAACGAAACGAAAGCAGATGCGACAAGGGAGAACTTCGGCTAAATTCCTTTATCCTTGTGAGTGGTTATTCATAATCATTCTGTGTTACACTTTTGAATTGATTGGCCTCAACTTGAACACAACAGGAGCTTCTTCTCCGGCTTCCGTGTCTCCCACTCTATGCAATCTTGAAAACGAACTCACAATAATAAGTACAGTATCAATAAAATACTACTCAACATATAAAATCACAATAAAGCTTACTGGATAGACGGTAATTATTTCTGGCAATTTCACCTCTTGCTTTAGGGTAGTGATTAAGACCAAATAACCTTATCTTTAGCTCGTGACCCTCGCGTGTCAGTATAATTGCCCTTTAATTGGCCAATAGTGCTAGTATGACCCGCTGAGGCAGACCGAACGCGTCGCCTAAAGAAACGACGTCATCATTTTTTAGCCAAAAGATTCCCTTTACGATTCTCGATTTCGACTGCAAAATGGCGTTTGATCCCACTCAAACCTCGAAATTCCACCTTTTCTCTCACAAATACTCACAAAAATCCAACAAATATTGTTGACATGGATTTCTCGTGTCACGTTTGCATCAAAAACGACTCAGACAAGGATCTCCTCCTTGACGACTCTGGCCTCGACAGTGGGAACTGGCCATTACGTCAGCCGCTGAACCTTATTGAGGCCGGAACTGAGCAGACCATTTACCTTGCTCAACCCAGTAAGTCCATCTCCTCAATCACTATATCCCCCTACTAATATACCACAGGTTGGGGAGGATCCAAGGCTTGGGTTACATACGTAGCAGAATACGGCCAGGGATGGACTGACTTTACCCTCGAGTTTGAGTGTCCTGCGTTGCCCTTCTCAAAGAACCATGTCTCGGTCAAGGATTGTTCGCCCGTCTTTCAGATTGACGTGACCCATGTTCAGGAAAGGGGAAGTCCTTTGACTGGTGAGTTTGTTCTTTGATCTCATCGACGATTCCTAACAAGACCAGCAAATGTAACCATTCGCATGAACAACAAGAGAAATACCTTGGCCATCACAAAAGATGACCAAGTCCGAGCAAATTACGACATCGGCGTCGGTGTGTCATTCCCCACCAAGATGGACATCAAGTTCCCTGTTCACGAAAGCATCGTCGTCGCAGCCTTTATCAACTCTGACATGATCTTCCCGAGAGGCACAGTCTACAACAATATCAACGATAAGCAGTGGGAGTTCTTCCGTGGCGTGGTCTGGAATGACGACCCTTCATGTCTCTTATTCGAAGATGTCACACAGGACAACAGAATGTTCAGTCTAGGAATCGAGTGGTTGAACGCTTTCAAGTTTGGCGAGGAGAACTGCATGACGAAGCGATCGCACATGGGTAATCTTCAATTCTTCCACGGAATGGGATCCAAGTTGGGCGAGAAGCCAGAGAAGACGAGGAAGAACATTCTCACCTGGATGGAAGTTATGTACAAGCTTGCGTGCGGCAACCAAGGAGTGTCGGAGGACGATGCTCTCAACGACGTTCTCCACGGATACTTTGGCAAGGAAACCGTCCCCTCAAAATCCGACACTCTCCGCGATCTCCTTCTCGGCACGACACCAAAATACAACAAAGCCGAGATCCAAAAACGTGCCTTTGGCGTGTGTCTGCACATGATCTCTGACTCATATGCACTTGGACACACACAGAGACGCCTCAAAAACCCTGCCGACATGATCGACCGCGATACAGCGGGCTACATCCGCTTCCGACCCGACACATACGGCGACTGGGGTTCCATCGTCTGTTTCCACACGTACAACGACCAGGACGGCGATCGACATTCTCATTACGACGACAAAGACGGCGAGGTCGATCCGACACCCAGGGATGTTACGACGTTTAATGAAACCATTGGAGCAAGAAATGCCATTGATGCGTGCACGGAGTTGATCAACTTGTTTGTCAAGAAGACTCAGTGGGACGATAGTGTGAAGCAGTTTTTGGAGGATGACATTTTTGTGCTGGACCGATGTGCAAGACCGGCTGACCGTTTCACTGATGAGTCTGTGGTGTCTGATCTTTACACATATGAGGAGAAGGCTAAGGAGGTTGACTACGAGGCTGGACTGCAACGCAAACTTGCTTCGTTGGAAGCGGGTGTTCCGGAGACCGCGTCTGCGAAAGGTGTTTTGGCAAAAAGATCCAGACTCATTTCAGGACTTGCAATGATTTGTCTCATGATGAGTGCTTCTCTTTTTGCGTTTCTTACCATGAATGTTCGGGGTACATGTGTTGAGGGGATATAATCAAGAAATTGTGCTGAAAATGGTTCAACTAGGGATGGATTGGCGTTTACTTTTGATGCGTCGTAACGGTTGGGTCAGCGTTGTATTTATCTATATACCACTCTTCTAATAAGTTTCTGTTGTAAAATGCACTTCTTCTCGAAATAATCTGTAGTGACGAAAGCCTAAGTGAGCTATCTCAACATGTTACTGTCATAAGGTTCTTGAAAGCTAATCGAGCAAAGCACCCTTGTTCATAGGTAGAGTAGCCATAAACAGGCAGGAACGAGTCGAGTCGATGCCCGTGTAGCAAAAACAAAAGGCAGAGTGCACTCACATATATAGATGGGAGCAAATTGAATTCATACATATCGAAACAAAAATGAAGGGCTCAACCGGGGATTGAACCCGGGACCTCCTGCAAGAGAGTGCATCCCAAAGCAGGAATCATACCGCTAGACCATTAAGCCGAAGAATTTCTTGTTGTCAAGATATTGTGAAGTTTGGAATATGTATTACGGTGTGGACGATCTGGCGGTTTGACGGGGTTTTTCCCCAACGGTGTGCCATTTCGACTTCTGCTGACTCATTCCCGTCCCTGACGTCATTTTTAGCAACACTCGACGTTTAGTTGTATACCTCTCTTTCGACGAAAAGCAACATGTACCAAATTCACCGAGTCTATTCATGGGTTAGCTACCCCGGAACACTTCCTATCAGAAATATCTATGCTGCGACAGATATCATGAAGACCCACTATGCCGCAATCTATCTCTGTATCCGGCTTGACGCTTGCCAAATGGAGAGTATCTTCTCTCAGGTTATCAGAAATGGCTGCTGAGAGCAAAGGACGAACTAGTAGGTCAGCTTATGCTGTTTAGATTGTACTCTTTAGACTATTTATCCTTTTAGCCTAAAGCTTAGAGATTGATGTTTCTGTTACCCACTAGCCAGCCAGAATAGAGTTGGTTGGTGTTTATGTGTCGACAAATGGCCAACACGTACCGCTCCATGATTGACGTTTGGACTACTGATTGAAATCATCTCAGTTAAGTAGATAACACGTGCAGCATTTGAGAGATGCTAGTATGTTCAGGAGAATGAAATAAACCAGAGCCTATCGGTAACAGAGTGTGGTAAATGTGGTTAGCATCCACAGCAAAATGGAGCACCAACCACCCCACGAACTGAATGATACCTGACAAAGTTCAGCGTATCCCTTTAGTAAGTAATTACCTGCAAAAGATAAGAAGCTCCATGCACTCGAGCAATTCGAGCTGTTGTATGTTTGCGGATGCTAAACATCACTTGATTAGATATCACGAGCTGTCGGATGACTATCAAGCCTGTAGTTTCCCTAGTGCGGTAATGAGAACTCACAAGATTCTGTTGTTTATCAATGATTGTAAGCCTACTGGTACGAAAACAAAAGAGGTGTCTGGCTGTCAGTAAAATATCAGACGACTGCGATTCACCCACCATGTTTGCATTCCCAAGACACTATAGCTGTAGCACATATCTTTGTAAATAATGAATCATCCCTGTATACATGTACGAAATTCTCTTTATGGAATGTCACTGTATGCAAGTTTCGCCGCCTCGAAAGGGAGCAAATTGGCAGGGAAGCCAACTCATCTTCCGTAGCAGGAAGGCAAAAAGACGGCGACGGGAGCATTCTGCAATGGCTTACTACTCGACATATCATGATATGGGTAGTAACCGATCGTATGAGCGTTGTGAAGTCTACAATACAGTATAGATTAACTCTTTTTCAGGAACCATTCCCCTTACAAGTTTCTCCCAAAACCATTCTGTGATACTCATGTGATGGCAATGAAGGCTAGAGCTCGTCTTCAGAGTACTAGGGCTTAGCTGCTGGGTATAAAACATGGAGTTAGTTGGCTTATCACATTTAGACCAGATCCATCCGCCTTTTCACCTTTATACTCTAGAACTCAGAGGCCAACATTTCTATTATGAAACACGTTGCAGACAATTCATGTTGGTTGTGTCTGATTCACTTGCATATACTTTCTGATATCTGTGCGCAGCCCTCGGTTAGCTTTCCATATCCCTGTCTGAATGAGCAGTCATCTCGCAATCCCCCCCATTTTGGCGCGATTCGATTGAGTTTGGATCAGGCCTACCAGTATCCAGTTATTATCCTCCCCCAACTTGTTTTTGTTCTCACAAGTTCCCACGTGGATGCCGGACGGGCCGTTGATCTTCTGACCGGACCGTAATTCAATTCATCACTAACCAACCTTTTTGTCGTTTGGAGACAGCTCTTCTCAAACGGAAAAACTACGTTGATATCGCATTCGCGTAGATTGTTGCCCGAAACGGGTTTGTAGATCGTTAGCGCATTGGACTAACTTTTGCTAGTTGTCGCGGATAAGAGTCAGAGGCCTGTCATGGTAACATCGAAAGCTCCCGCAGGTTACACTCAACAGCCTAACGACACGGTTTACCCGAAAGAAAAACAGACAAACTGAATCTGTTGGCATTTGGGATGTGATTGCTTCAAACACGTGGGGTTCATGGCCACGTGGAGTGATGGGCGCTTAACGAAAGGAACGTCATTTCGTGCTTGGCTCTTGAAGTGGTGACAGTCAAGCAAGGCAGAAGATGCAGGAACCAAGCTGCTTGGGAAGTGAAGCTGCAACGCTATGGACTTGTTTGGACGAAAGAAGTGCATGACCAGGGGCAGGGGTGAGCATGAAACCGGCAGTTCAGCCTGGCGAGCATGCGAGTCATGAAAAGACCAGCCGAGGCAGGAATTCTAGATAAGTCTTTTGTAATGTCGTACATATCTCTGGCATCATGTGTAGTTGATCTACGAACCATGTTTGATACGTGTCTGATCTCTTTCTAGTATGGGCTGAGATTAGACACATGGAGTTTTGCAGGTAAGACAAGACACTGCAGGTACATGCCGAGCAACAGCCTCTTCCTTGGTGTCGACAACCATGTGACAAGACTGTTCTAGATTTAAGCTTTCGCTTGTTAACGGTCGGACCCATTTATGAGCGTTTGGACGTTAAACGGATATCCGAACGCAGGTGATAGCTTCGTTCTCTGCATAAACCTGCCTGCTATTGTCGTCGATCCAGGCTAAACATGGCAGGTCCTTAGATACAAGACTTGGCATACTGCGGAATTATGAAAGAAGAATGATTTTGTATTTGATTTAGCGCATACATCTAACCATCTAGGAAGCATTACGTACTATACCCAAAGCCGAAAACCCGTGTTTGAGAAAGCGTTATCTATTCGTGTTCGTCTTATTCTAGATTCGGTCATCATGAGACTGTGTTATTGCCGTGTTGCCATTCCCGATCAACGACGGTTGACCGAGCCTCAACAGAGAACCTTTGCTTTTTTTTTTTCGAGCTGTCAACTTTTCCCCAGGAACAAAGATGCGAATCAATGCTCCGATCCCACTCCATATTTCACGCCATAATCCATATGAACCACAAACCCCAGGCTTTAATGCCGCTGGATTACATATCACAGCCCGATTGCGGAACAGAAGCAAGGAGAGGAGATATGGTCCCCGGGATAAGGGACCCTTGGCGGCCAAGGACCCGCCTGTTTCGGATGGGTTACTGTGCAAGGTCCGAGCCCGCAATATTAACTGGAGAATATTTCCAAACACGAACACCTACAGATGATCTTAAGAGCCTATACCCAGAAGGATAACTCACTATCATTATGGAACATGCACTGACAAGTTTATTAAAGTGCGGAGCTCTGCCTCAACCTCTCCCTCTCTGGTTCCAGAACATACCCAATTTGCCCTTGCTCTCTTGGAATGGAGGTTGACCCTTTTGTCTTAGCAGCCTTTGGGCCGCCCCCTGACGGCATAGATTTGTCGGCCAACAATGAAGCCAAGAACACTGGTGTTGTTCTTTTGCTGTTGATCGTCTCGGCTGCATTTCTGGCGGGTAGAATTACTCTACGGACGAAACAAACCTACGGATTAAGTGCGGATGATTATGCTATCATAGTGTCGTTCTTGTTTGTGTTTGCCGTTGCTATAATGGTTGCTGTTGGTGAGTACATGGTCTGCTAGGCATGAATAGTTGCTAACTTTGGTAGCTGGTCATGATGGTGTTGGGCAACATGTGTGGGCTCTTAGGATAAATCAGCTCTCAGAAGTGGTCAAGGTTTGTCCGATCAAACCTATTACACTGAACTATTGGTACTAATAGCAGTAGCTCTCATACATATACAGCTTCCTCTTTGCCTCGGCTGTATCTACAACTAAAATCTCGATACTCCTCTTTTACCGACGAATATTCACCCGAGGTGGCCTTGCATTTCGAATCGGCTTTTGGTTTGGGGCGCTTCTTGTCATGTCGTATCCCATCATCTTTGTCTTCACCATGTGCTTTTGCTGCAAGCCTATTTCGCACTATTGGACACAGTTCATGGGGTCTCAGGGTTCATGCATCGATGTTGGTCAATTCTTCGTTGCCCTGGCAATAATGAACCTTATTACCAATGTCATCGTGCTTTTGATCCCAGTGCCAGAAGTGATCAAGCTTCAGATGAGCAGAGAGAAAAAGGCAGCTGTTTTCGGCATCCTGGCACTCGGAGGCTTGTAAGTGACTGCATCCGTCTCAACCCGATCCCATACTAACCCTTCCTCCTAAGAGTCTGTATTGCTAGTGCCGTGAGAATCCACTACCTGAGCGTCTTCGCTAGAGAAATCGATACAACATGGCATATGGGCCCTGTGGCCATCTGGTCCTCTTTCGAACCGTCAATAGGCATCGTGTCAGCGTGTCTGCCTAGCTTCAAGTCACTATTGCGGTACCTGCGAGGCAAGAACAGTAAGAAATCGAGCTTTATAACACCACCAGACTGGGCTGCGGGCAATAAGCCCAGGTTTGATGACGAAATTGCGTTGAGGAGTCAAGTGGTAGGAGGCCAAGGGAGTGTACGAAGCGCACAGGGCAGTGACGCTGATAAGCATATTTTTGTCAAGACGGATGTCGAGCAAACCTTTCATGAAGTGCCCTGATAGATTGAGGCGCTGTAAATAATGAATAGATGAACAGTTCTAAATCATGCATGAGTGTTAGCGTCCTGTAACCGTAACTTGTTGATACATCCGATAAAGCCCCCGTATTTGAGACATTCCTACTGGTGACATTTGATCCAAGTTGTGTAGGCAGTGTTCAGCCCCGTGGTTCATCCTCGCAAAACAGTATGATAGCTGTAAAGACTTACAGTTTGTTTACAGTTAGACCGGTAGCTCAGTGGATAGATGTTACCTGACGCAACGACTCGACATATCATCAGCGTCTTTCTTGAGATGCAGAATACCCCATAGAGAGGGGGAACACAAGTTATACTCCATTAAATGAGATAGCTCTTGGAACTCCGGGAAGTGATATTTAAAGCCAGATCGAACAACTAGAATCTCGGGATGTATGGGCTAGAGAAGGGATGCTGAGATTAG